TCTGATGTCCTGGCTGGGCACAATGTCCTTCAAGCTAGAGCATTCCTTGGGAGTTAATTCTCTTCCCAATCCTCAGCCCTTCCCTTGGTTGCAGGGCAGCTCCTTACTGAGTTGCAGGACACTCTGAGAAGTGCCCAGATGTGGTGTTCTCCTGTACTAAATTCATCCTGACAGCAGATACTGCAGAGGGAACAGGGTGCAACACGATTGCTTGTTCAGTGGAAAAGCATTACATTTACCACAGCCCTTGAGAGAGAGGTTTGGAGAAACCAGGTGGATTACACAGCTGCCTCATTCCCAGTGGAAATCTGGGAATTAATCAGAGAGAATTGAAGCCAAACTTTAGACAAAAACAAAGCCACTAAATATTGTTTAGTGTGGCTGTTCTCAATTCCAAAACCCAGGCAGTGAATCTCAGTGATGAAATATGGCAAACCATCCAGATCCTTTGGAAATTAAATTGACCAAGTGTTGTATGTGGAAAGAAGACTGGATTTTACGTGTCCCTGAATCAAAACCCTTGGAAACCATACAAGCTGAGGTTTCAAAGCCCTGATTTTTTTTTTTTGGCTAACATGGTGTAAAACAAAACTTTTCAACTTGCCACATGTTGAAAGAGCAAATCAGTTGATAAAATTAAATTATCATTTCCATGCATGCACACCAGACATAATGGAAGCTGCACTGTCATATTCATGTCATACATGGAATTTCACTTTGTACATGCCTTTTTATATTGGAGTAATAATTAACAAAGCAAAACGTAGCAATACACCCACTTTGTGCCTCTAACTGAACCATTTCATGGCAGACATTTTCCTATTTGCCTGTTTGGCCATTTTTTTTATTTTTTCATTACCCTGTGTATGGATTTCGGGTTTATTTTGAACTAACTTTTGAAATAACAACCAGAATGCAGGGATCAGGTGCTGTCATTTAGGATTACCCTAAAAGTGCTTTACAACCAGCTCCTGGATGTGCATGAACTTGCTCTGTGCCAGCCCACCCTGAGGCTGAAGTTGCACACAATGCAGTGGGCAGTTGTGGTGAACTCTCCAGCCCCGTCCTACCAGATGGTACCGTATGGAAGCACCACTGATCCTGTGACTCTGCTGGTTTGTAATTAGGTTTCTAGTAATTAATATAGTTTGCAGGCCTTGCGTGAACTCTGCAGATTGTCCATTCATGTAAATGATTAACTGCAAGGGGATTAATTTTCCAGACTGAAAATCTTCTCCGTTAGTCTCGTATATTGTGAGAGAGAATGAAACATTGAGTTTCTACTTGTGTAGCTCCATTTCAAAAGGAGTAACTCAATATCAGTGTTAAAAATCTCTGCATTGAGGATATAAATATACATTTGCTGCCGTAGATCTTTTAGTCTTTTATGGAATTCAAAATGCATATTCAATATGGATGAGTGGTTGGAAAAAATCTAATTATCACTGCTAATATTTAATAGTTCATAGGGTAAAGTCTGGCTTTGAAAAAAGAATATGTTTTAGAATTCTAAATGTAGAGTCCATCCAGCACAGGTCACTGCCCTGGGATCTCAGAGTGGCTGGGCTTGGAAAGGACCCTAAAGACCATCTCATTCCATCCTCACTGCCATCCCCATGGCAGGGACATGCTCCACTAGACCAGGTTGCTCCAAGCCCCATCCAACCTGGTCTTTAACCTGGCCTTGTCCTGCCAAGTGTGCAGCCCCCTCAGGTCAGGCAGAGCTCACTTTTGTTTGCTGGCACCAGAGTGTCATAATTTTACTTTTTGTCATGTTTTAAAGTGCAGTGAAATGTCAAAATCTTCCTCAACCTTTCCACCCATGAAGTATGAACCCAAGGGTTTAGCTGGCTTTGTATTTTCTCAGTGCCTCTCAAACCTCCTCCTGTGAGCACTCTATGGTTGTCCATAAACACGGAATAAAGTGGTTGGATTTAGTTTTCATTTCATTTCACACCGTGAAGTGGTATTTTAAATGGCTACCTCAGGAGCTACTGAGGCTGCTGGGCCATTAAAATCAGAGGGTTGAATATTTATTTTGAGGGAAAAGATGAGGATACTCAAACACTTTGGATCAAATTGAATCCTCAGGCATGCCCACTGATCTGAGAAGTCTGGAATGAGTTTGCTCCAGGGAAGTGTCAGTGTTGTACAATATTTCTGAGAGTGTAAGAATATATGGGAAAAAAGTGTTTATCCAGAGGGCAGCACACTGCTGATCTGTACCTGGAAGCCTGAGCTGTGTTCCTAACCCTGGTTCTGCACAGCACTTCCCAGTGAGTGCAGCTTCCTTGGGAAGTGTCCATTCTTCCTTGGGAATTGCCATGGGAGCAAACAAAGGTCACAGTGTTACTCTGTGCCACAGGACTCAAAATATCAAAAATGCCTAGCAGATAAATACTCAAATCATTAATTTCTATATAAATATTGGGCCGAGTGCCTCTCTGGTAGAACTGCAGCATTTGTAAGGCAGCACGGACGTGTTTAGTCCAGTGTGTTTAGATTCTGCATTATTTATGCCAGATGCTTGGGGTTTTGTTTTCCTTAATGGATAATAAGGGTCATCCCAAACAGAGTTGTTACTTTGCTTGGGTTTCATTGAAAGAGACACTACTAAAGGGAGAGGAAATCCCCAAAATGATACTTGGTGATTAAGTACATAGAATATAGGATTTCAGTGTTTGCAAATCCTTTTTTTCAAATGAACTTGTGGCACTAATCCTCTAATGGCATTATTTCTTTGGAATATATGCCGGATTAAGGAGTCACAATGAGGCAAAGTACAAAAATCCACATTAATCTCTCACTGATGGATGCTGTGTGGGATGCAACTTTAACTGTTTTGTTCCAAAATTGGTTGTGTTCCTAACCTTACCCCAGGCCTGGACAGAGGGCAGGGTGGATATAACCAAGTGTGACACATGGGCAGATGGTCCCAGCCTGGTTAACTGGATAGAGAGGGGAAGGCGTTCATTCCTTTTAAACTCCAGAGGCTCAGCCTGCCCTGCGCTGCCCGGGAGTGCTGCAGGAAGCAGACACAGGTCTGGCAGGCAGGGGCAGGACACCTGCTCAGAAGTGTGTCAGGAGGAGACAGACACAGCAGAGAACAGGGCCTGGCTGTCCTGATACATGGTGTGTTCCCAGCACAGCCTGTGGCAAAGCTCTGCTCATGTTTGCAGCCCAGGGCAGCCTCCTCCCTCTCATTAACTGCTTTGTTCTGGGGTAACCCTGTTGTCCCCCTCCCTCACAGCTGATGTAAAAAAGGTAAAGATTTGCTTTCTACGAAGAGGAGACACTGTGGAACTGCATTTCCCTTCTCACTGAATTTACAGGCGGTCTGTGAGGTGTTGTCACTGTCACTCAACAGCCTCCAGTGATGAAAGAGTTTCTGCATGGGCAGCACATCACCTGAAACACTGGTGTCAGACTGGGCTAGTTAGCCCAGCCCAGCACTGTAATTGGTGCTTAACCTGCTTAAGGATTTCCCCAGATTCAGGGGACAGAGGTTATCAAACATTCCCATTCCACATTCTCACTGAGCTCCAGTGGGCACTTCATGTCTTGGGCCAGGAGAGCCTGGCACGTGTTCAGAAATACAGGTTGCTTTTCCCTGCTTCATCCCTGGTCACTCTGTTGTTAAACACAAGTAAAGAGCTGACAAATCCAACAAGTTCTTTACTGACACAAGTGATTGGGATTTTCCATAGCCTGCAGAGCTGAGATGCCTGAACTTGTGAAGTGAAAGAACACGCAGGGAGTGATCCTTCCCAGTGGATACAGGTCTGTAGTGAGATTTTAGTTTCAGAAACTGGGACAGGACAGTCCTGCAGGGAAAGATGGTTGATTGCAGTGGATTTGTGCAGTTTTCCCTGCTGTAAATGTTTCCCAGTGTGACACTTCTCATGGGCATGATGTTCACTCTTCAAGTTTTTCTATTCTTAATCTTTTCCTTTGGGTCCTTGTGCCCTATTCCACCCCAGGAGGATAATTTTTGCATTAACTCACTGAGTCAGGCCTGTCCTCAGGGCTGGTGTCTGCTCAGCTGCTTGCAGTGCAATCATTAGTGTTATTTACCAGTTTTATCATTCCCCAGCAAAATCACTCCAGTCCCCATATGTCTTTAGTGTGCACATATCCATGGATGGCCCCTTGTAAATTATATTGCAACAGGTGCAGACAAAGGTGAGCAGGAAATGGTAAGGGAAGTTGAGAGTTTGCCACATGAGGGGAGGCAAGAAGAGGTGGGCTGGTTTGGCCCACAAAAGGGAAGACCTCATAGATTGGAAAGGATTAGCAAGGCTAAAGAGATTCAGCATAAATGGCCATTTTATGGTTAAGGTAGGAATTGTAGGATTCTCCATCATGGAAATCAGACTTTAGGGCAGACAGACAGAGGTATATATAGGGTGTGTCCAGTGATTGCTTTGTAATGTTGTATCATGATGCTGCCCACAAGCAGATTGCAGTGGATGATGCAGTGTGACCCCTCCTCTCGTGTCTCCGGTTGCCCCAAAATGAACAGGAGTGCCCTGGTCCGCTGGATCCCTTTTCCTTACTGGAGTGTGCAACATCCTGCTGACAGCAGGGCTCTGCTCAGACTCCAGCACTAATTCTGACCACTATGGACAAAAGGGGTGGGAAAACAAAGAGCTTTTCTCCAGGTATTCTTGTAACCTGATCTGCAGGGTGACTCAGCCCCTCCTGCCAACAGCTGTCTCAGGGAGGTGCAGTGCTTTGGGTGCAGCATCGAGGGCTGTGCTGCCACTTCCTGATTTCTGCCTTGGGAGGCATCGCAGCTGGGACATGATCAGAGCATTTAAATGGACTTCTCAACCCTCCCCAGGAAACAGAGGCCAGGGCCAGCAGGCTGATTTTGGGACACGGTGCAGAGGAACAGAGGCACTGGGGGAGAGCCCACACATGGCTTGTGCAGAGCTGCTGCTGTCAAACTGATGAAGGCAGAAACTCGGGAGAGAAAACTACGTGAAAGTTCCTCTTAAGGAGAGGAGTGAAGTTTTGGTTGCATGTCATAGCTCACCTCTCCTGCAAGCCCTGAAAGTGCTGGGAAACGTGGAAAGGATCCTCAGGAGAACCAATGGAAAAGACAGGTATGCTCTTTGTCTAAAATAATACCACTCTACAGCGTGAAATCACAGCCAGGGTCAGCAGGATTGCTCTGCAGCTCAGGAACCGTGCATGTACATCTCGGTACATTGGTTTGTATCAGCTCTGGGTTTATCAGAAATACAGCTGTGACAACACATTAAGAGCCAGACTTTAAACAGTGCATCAGCTTTTGTAATTGTAAGTGTTCTGCTCTTGAAAACTTGTATCATGGCAGAAAACTTCCAACACAATGAGAAAATGTACCTACATATATGCACATCAGTATATATATGTATAATCACATTTTTAAATACACACATAAACGTATGTATATAAAAATTCCATTTGCTTTATTTTTGCATTCGCCCCCCCGACACACCTCTTGCTATAAGAACATGGAAATCATCTGTGCAAGTCACGGGGTTTCTGATACTTCTTCATGTGTTTCTCCTTTTTTGGGAAGGGGGTGCCGGTGACACCCCCTGTAACTGATGGTTACTGAAATGACCGAGTTCACGCACTCTGTGAATGACCGCAGATTGCGGACCGAGTTCCGTGTGCGGGTCTGTGCTGGGGAAGGCGGAGTCTGTGTGAGCACAGGAATCCATTCACGAGCTCGGCTGTGTTACGGGCTCGGGGGCTGAGCGCTGCTCGTTCCCTGCAGCCGATGGCACACGTTGTAGAATTACAACTAAAGAAAGACTATCCAATTAATGTTTAGAGAAAAACAGAGCAGCTTCAGAATCACTGGTTGATGCTACAGCTTGTGTAGCATAAGAAGAAATAAGGAAAGCTGTATTAATTACAGAGTCAAACCTTACTGTGCCTGTGAAGTAGTGACCAAAACTGAGGTCACTGAACTGTTCCAAACAAGCTCCCTGGGGGTTTGTTTTCTTCCAGCAGTGACACATTCCCGGTGTCCACAGCTATAATATCTGGTTGGTTTGGGCACTGTGGCTTCAGCTTTGCTCTGAGGTTGCTGGGGTGTTCAGCCTGGTCAACTAAACAGTGCTGTTATTAGCATAAAGACAACGGTGGGTGGTGAATTCTCAGGGCCATTATGAAAGAAGGTAAGCAAGAGTGAACGTTACAAAAGCTAATTCTGTGTCTGCTGATCCCCTGGAAGATGACATGCTGAAGTGCCAGGATAAGCAGGAAGAGGACACCCCAAAGAGTTCCCCGTTTGACTTTGTTATAAAACAGTTCCAAGGAAAGAGTTGTGCTCCTGAAAAAGGGAAAGAGCAGCCTTCAGCCATCAAAAAATTCTTCAGGGGCTTTGACTTTGGGAAATCTGAAGGCAAGGACAGAAGGGAGATTGAAGAAATCAACAACTCTGGAGCTGATGATCAGAGTGAGAAGGAAGATCTCTCTGTGGAAGGTAATGCTGGGACAATAATGAAATATATGTGCATGTGTATATATTTTAAGTTCATAAAAAATCAGTTGCTTTTTTTGCTGGCCAAAATCCTCTATTTGCTCCTTACAGCTTATCTTTTAACCAGGATTTATTTCTGACTGGGACATTATCAAGGATGTACCCTCTAATTTGATAGGTGCCAAGCAAGGAGTAAGATCCATGTTGCTGAGGAGTGGTAGAGCTTTTGGGTGACCTCTCTCTTGGTCTCCCGTGTGAGAGGTCAGTGCTGAAGTCACTCATTACTTGCAGAGCTCGTTTGGTTTCCAAGCCAAGCTTTGAGCAGTAGCTTGGCTTGTTGTGTTTAGGATGGGTCTCTGTCCACCCTGCTGCTAAAGCAACCTGAAGACAAGAAGAGCAGATGTTTCCTTCCACTTGGCACTGGGAAGGGAAAGGGAAAGTCTTGCCATGGCAGCCTCAGGCAGATTTTACACCTTTTGTGAGTACCAGAGGTGACCAGGGCCCTCTTTCTTTGTTGCTCAGATGGACACTCACATCTCCTTTCTGAAGCAGAGTCCCCATCTGGTGAGCAGAGATTTAACCAGTTCATGCAGAAACTGGGAAAGAAACCCGACAGCAAGAATCTTGATCTAAATAATTGTGCATTAAGTGCAGAAGATGTTACAGAGCTGGGTAAATAAACGTTTTATTCAACTAATCACTTCATACCCTTCTTTAATTCTTATTTGCCTGTTCAGTTATTCACTCTTCTCTTTTCCTTCTCCTTTCTTTTATACAGGCCTGGCTTTATTTAACATTTCATCTGGTGGTCCCAGAGAAACATTAATTAATAAACTATATAATTTATGTAATATATAGAAATATAAAAATTATACAGGTCTGTGAAGCAGATGAATGTCCTTACACTCAAACTACAGATAAGAAAACTGAGGTACAAATTGTCATGGCTTTATAATGCTTTATTGATACAGAAAACATCTCAGTATTAATATGTATTGACATCCAGAGTGGGCAGAAACATTTAAATATGCCTTTCCTTTCCTTGCAGCTTCTTTACTGCCATTTCTCCCAGAGCTGGAAGAGATCAGCCTGTCCTGGAATGGTTGTGTTGGTGGGACTCTGAAAGCTCTCACTGTCCACCTTCATCACGTGAACCTGTTAAAAGTCCTTCGGCTTAACAACTGCAGGCTGACAGCTGAGGATGTCATCTCCTTAGGTACAGGATTTCATTTACATTTACTCCCAGACAGCTTGGGGCTGCTGTAATCCATCTCATCTCTTCCTACATCCCACTCCTGCTGCTTCCACACTGGGCTGTGTCAACTCCTGCTGTGAAACAGCAGAAACTTGGGCTTAGGGGTGACCTTACACCTTCAGGTACCTCTGCCGAGTTCGATCCTCAGGCTGTGAAGCTTTCCCACTCCAAAGGGAGCAGAAATCAGTCCTGCTTGCAGGAAAGCATTTCCAGTTTAGATCAGCATTTTTTTGGCTGGCTGTGATATCTAATGGTAGACAGAAGAACTGAAGCAGAGTCAGTCAGAGTAGGGTCAGCTCAGCTCCTCAAGCTGCAGGACAGATGAGTGCTCATCACAAAAACCCCAGTGGTCTTTCGGAGGAGAAAAACCAGAAGTGCTGCCTCAGAACTTCACGACTTGGGCTTTTTGCAAGTCTGGGAGGAGCCCATCCCTCTGCTTCTTTCCTTGGAGTGCCTGCACCCTGCTTTGTGCAAGGCATGAGATTTGAAGGGTGTAAAGGTGGTGTTCCACACTCAGTTCTGACACTGAGTCACTCTGGGCCTGGACTTTACTCTGGGGTGGATCTGTGGTTTGTATCTAAAAGAAGGACAAACTCAATCAACTAGGAATTATAAAAGTTACTGCTTATTTTGCAAATTCTAAAACTGGTCTGATTTAAAAAGCTGGTGTTTGTTTATGTCATTCATATCCAAGCCTCTTCCAGGAAAGGTTCAGAAATAAAATTACATATATGTTGGCAGCTCAAAAGCAGGTCATGCTATCTGCTGGGGAAGAAAAATGCAAAAACTGCTGAAAATAATCCAAAACCTGCTGAAAATAATTGATCTATTTCTGATGAGGGTGAAATCTGTGTTTTATTTCCTATTATTTTTCCAAATTGAGTTCATTCTTTTTCAAACCCTTTTCTCATACCTTTTTTTTATCTTTTGAGTTTTATTTGCTATATTTTCAATTGATTTATTCTTTGGGGTTCTTCTGTGCTCTTTCCTTCCCAGATCTGTTTATCCTCTGCAGAGACAAACACAAAACTGATCACAGGACTTGAATTTCCAATCCAAATGTGATGCCCTTGGCATGGGGAATAACAACAGTCAGTTTGCATTGATTTTGCCTGCGATTTTGAAAATAACTTGTGTATTTAGGCCAATATTGACTGTTTGACCTTGTCCACATCCATCTGAGGAAATGTGACCTCTTGTGGATTCGGTGCATTCTGCTTAGAAATCAGTGTCTCCAGTGTAAGCAGAATAACCTCTCCTCTGAGACTGCTCAGAGCTGGGACTGTGTGAGGGGATAGGAAACCATTCCTGCAGTTATAGCCCTTTATTTATCTTCTGGGTGGAAATTGTGTCTGGAAGGCTTGTCCTAGTGGCAAGCAGAAACAGGCTATGCTGCACTTCTCAACTGTAGAGTTGGTTCAGTGTTCAAGACTGAGGCAATAATTTAAAATAAATGCAAAAATAAAAATTAAGACATATCCTTTTCTCTCAAACCTAGATATTCACTTACTGATATAATTATTTTTCTGTTATAATCTTTTGTGAAGAATTAATTATGAAAGACACAGACATGAAGGGGTGTTACTATTAAAATACAGTTCTCAATTATTAACTTGATGACAAGACTTTAGATCCCAGATTTTTGTGGGACACTTTGAAATTGCGTTTGCATATGGTCTGATTGATTGATCTTTCTTGGGAATGAGTTTATGCAAATATGCATCTGCCTCTCTCCTCTGCAAAGGAAGTTGGGAAGCTGGATTTTACAGTGGGATATAAGTGTTTCAAAGAAACACTAACACAGATCACACTGGCAGATGCTTCAAGCCTGGAAAAAGCTGATTTTTCTGAATGTAATCAAGGTCAGTGCCTGGAAATCATGGGAAAGTTAGTTCAAGTCAAAGCAGTGATCATTTTGCTTCCTTATGAAGTGAGTCAGAAACTCCTGTCAGACACGAAACTTTCACATTTCAGAAACAGTAGTGAGAGGAATTCTTTCCTCCCCTCCCTCTGTGGACACAGCACAGAGGAGGTTGGAAGTTTGCCAAATAAAACAGGGCAGAACTGTGCAGGACACTAAATTCAGACTCATCACTTACATTGATTTCCCTCCAGACTGGACATTTTGGGTCCTGGCACAGGGCTACAGTGATGTCCAAACAGCCTGATGAGAGTCTGGGAATGTGAATAAATGTCAGGTCTTGTGTGTGCTGTAACAATGACTTGTGATCTGCATTGCTCCTTAGACAACGTGAGATTTTATACAGCTTTGCTGCAGGAGCAACAATTCGTTCAACAATTTTCCTGGCAAGACATTCAAAATAAAGTAATTTGAGAATTAAGTGGCTAACCTTCCTCTTTAATATATTTCAAACTTATATTTTTGTTGGTACTGAAATTGATACCTAGAATGAATCATCCCATATTTCTGTTGCAGGAGAGGCATTTGAAATTGTTTCTCAGCTTGAAGAACTGGATTTGTCATGGAACAGTAACATAGGTGGAAAACTATCACTGCTGACAAAAAAAGTCCAGAATGGATGCAAGTTAAAGTGCCTGAAAATTACAGACTGTAACCTGACAGCGAAGGATGGGGAATCCCTTGGTATGTGTGTCCATCCAGCTGGACTGAGAGTGACCTCACCAGAATGCAGCTTCTTTGGCTTGGCTGATGGCTCTGTGGAGCTCAGTGTTGGTGGAAAGTTAATTTATTTCAAGCTCTGCGTTATAACAGTATTTACATCACTACGTGGGGATTTAATGCACTTTCCTCCAAAGGAAGAAAGTTGTTTTCTCTAATCATGTGAGGGAATGTTGAGGAGAACAGTCAGATCTAAACCACAGTCTGGCAGCCTCCAGGGTGCTGGATCCTTTGAGACCTTGAGCAAAAGAAATGTGCCAGAATTTCCAGCACTGATGGCTTAAAATTAAGCAGCTGAATATGTAGTTATCCATGGGATGGGAAAGAAAGCCTGAGAGTCGGGAATTTAGGCTGAGCTGGCAACCACTGACCACTCCTCCCATCTGTCTCTCACCACAGTTTAATCCTGTGTGGTCTTTTTATCTGAGTGTGTGTTTTCAGAGGTGTTTTCTCTGTAAAGAGAAGCCTTTGTGCTCTCATCTCCACTGCAGGAGGAGGCCCATAATCCTGTGTATTTTCTCTTTGTATTCCTGCTTTTATTCCCCTGTATTTTTCTAACTGCCCATGTATTTTTGCACCTTTATTTTTTCCTACAGGTTTTTTCACTGATTTTTCTTGATTCCTATCCAATCTTTATTTTGCTGTATTTTGGAGGTAGAACAGGAACTTAGAGAGCCTAAACCACATGTACAGGCAAACCCAGCCCATCTCTTTCTGTTTGCCATGCTGCTGTATTTTTCTAGGGCTCATCTGTAAGTACTCCAGACAATTACCAATTCTGGTTTTCTTTTTTTTCCAGCTGAATTTCTAAACGTGATCCCAAACCTCGAAGTATTAGATCTCTCTATCAACAAACACATCGGCTGCAGCGTGAAGGTTATGGCTCAGGATCTGAAAAACGTGCCGGGCTTGAAAGAGTTAAACTTGCACATGTGTGGATTAAAGCAAGACAGCCTCCAGGGCTTAGGTTAGACTTTCTGTTCAGAAAGACTTTCATTCTGAATAAACTGGACATCTGAAAGCCATTTAGGAGAGGCAATGAGGTGGGATTTTGCTGATGGTTTGGCAGCGTTAATGGGCAGTCGTTATTTGCTGTTTGAGGATTGATAAAGGGCTACAGAGGCTTTCAGCAGGAGTCACGTTTATCTGCCCCGAGCTCAAGCATGTGAAAGTCAACGGCGAGAGTCACCCTTCACACCATTTATCTCAGACACATCTCAGGGCTGATTAGTGGCTCCCTGGACACGCTTCCTCTTTCCCCAGACAGAACAATAGCCAAGGACACAGACAGGCCGGCTCACTTTTAACAGGCTAATCCTGCTCTCCCAGGGAAATCCAAATTCACCATTATCACCTAGAGAGTGCCCAGTGAAATGGGCTTGTTATCTGTGTCTCTCCCTAGTGGATGCCTCATGGATAAGGCAAAACAACTGGCAGGAATTAGCAGGTCCATCAGCAGTTTGTGCAAAAGGCTGAGGATTGAATGGATGTGGGGGATGAGCTGTCCTCACCTTCACCTGCTCCTTCAGAGAGGAATGGAGCTGCATGACTGTGTGTGTGCTGTGATCACACTCTGGAGCTCAGTCCCAGAGCTTTGCCTGCCATCCCTTGTGCAAACTTTGATGCTGAAGTCAATGAATGCCCCTAAAGTAAATGAAGTAAATGTGAGCGGGGATGTTGTAGGGCCAGTGACCAACTTGTCCCTTTTCCCACTGCAGACACTGCTTTGCAGCACCTCGCAGAGCTGAGGAAATTGGACTTGTCGTGTAACAGAGAGATTGGTGGTGGCTTTAAAGACTCAGCAGCTCATTTGGCCAGCCTGAAAAACCTGGAAGTCCTTGATCTTCACCAGTGCTGTGTCACAGAAGAGGACATGGCCGTTTTGTGTAAGGACATGCTGAGGAAATTCATTAAGAATCCAGGTTTTGCCTTCTGAAAATATCTTAAAGACAGAAGGAATTCTGCCTGGCAGAATAGCTGATCTTTTTTCAGTAGGCAGTTCTGGAAGTGCAGGGTATGATCAGTATGAAATGGTATTTTTGCTGAACCAAAGGAAATCTCAGAGTGTCTGATCCCACGTGGAATTAAGGACCTGAATCCACCATGATTCAGATCCTCAATGGAAATGTGGGAACTGCCTCTAAACGCTGCTTTTTTGGGTAATCAGTAATTTTGGAAGTACCCAGGGACAGTTCCTCCACTGCTATGAATTAGACAGACCCAAGGTGTGGATGTGCATGGAAAAGGAGCTGCTTAAAACTCTCCTGGTGAACTGCACACCCAGTAGAGAGTGATTTTAGGAGATTGCTGCTGCTGTGGTTTTCTCCAGGTTGAACTGATCCAACTATAAACACTGTTGGGAAGAAAAAGGCAGTTCCCAATCAATTTGTAAAACATTGCCCACATCTTCTTTGCCACGATAAAGAAGATTATTTGAAAAGCTGCCTATTAAACATTGGGAAATATTCATTATTAGTAATAGCAGTCATGATTTATTTTTAATTTATTGAATAATAGAGAATAATAGCATTAAGGTGACGTTTCAGTTAGCAAGGAAGACATTTGGAAATAATCCCTGTCTCATTTAATGTTTAATTAATGTTTCTTCACCTAGAAAATTTCCTGGAAGCCACTTTCTGACAACCTTCCCCACAGTGTGGAATACCTAATTCCTTGAACATTCTTACTGAAAATGACAAGGCTATTTATGGACTAAAACATTACCACGAATTTGAGTGTAAAAACTTGGCCTTGACTTTTGGATTGATTTCTAAAAATTATGTCAGGCAGGTGTACAACTACACATTTGTTGTGAATAGGTGACTGTCTAATAAATATCTGATGTTTTCATAGCCCAGGTGATACCTTTACTCTCCAGTCTTCAAGAGCTGAATTTATCCTGGAATAAAAGTGTAGGACTTTCATCTGATCCTCTCCTGGGCCGGCTCAGGTTTCTGCCGAGGCTGAAATCTTTGGCCATCAGCAGCTGTGGTTTAGGTGAAGAGTCGCTCTCATCACTAGGTAGGAATGTCCTTTAAAGTGTGTCTGGGTATCCCTGGGGGACAAAGCACCTCATTCTTCTTTGGCTGAACTCCAAGGATCAGGGTTACACTGTAAAAAAAAAAAATGCCTGTGATCAAACCAGTTCCCCCATTCTATCTGACTGCATGAAGCCCTTTTAGTCCTCTGTCTGATAGTGAGCTTTTCTATATTGCCTGATTTGGGGGGATAAAGGAACTCATGATTTTATGTCATGCTGTAATTCTAGTTGGGATGTAACACTTTTGAGTTTGGTGGGGTAAAGTTTGGACTGAGGGCTTTTCCTCACTGCAGGTGAAAGCTTCAGCAGAAACTTTCTGGGGTAGAGTTTAACCTGGGACAACAGAGGAAATTACTGCAGGAGTGGAAAAGATATTGCACAGCCACAAAGAAAAGTCCAGTCTAACACAGGATATGTAAATTCAGCCTCTTTTGCCTACTTATTGCAAATGCCAGTGGATTAGTGTACACTGTGCCTGTGATAGTTGTTCCATGTGGCACATGACATGGAAATACAGAGGGATCTCTCAGTTACTGTGTATGCTGCACTTCTGTTTTGTGCTGTTTATTACTACTGACATTAAACCTGCAGTAAGGCTTGCCTGCCTCCAGCAGAAGCAGAGGCAATCAGAACTGGTCTGAGGTCCCTGCAGGAGGAGGACTATATTTATATCATTGCAATTATGTAAGAGTGACACCACAGAAATCAGTGTTGTCACGAGATGCAGAGCATTTCACCTTAAATAGTGAGTTCACAGAAAAAAAAATACCATCTTTGAATTAATCTAAAATGATTTAAAAGCAAGCTATTAAATTAAATAAATTCAGTGAGCACAAGGACAAGCCAATAACATGAGTAGAAACACAATAAACCTCTCCACAGATTCCTGGTAGAATCTATGGGCAGGCCTTTTTTATTTTCTTTTATCTGACTTTTATGAGGATAAAAGAAGTCACCCTAAGCACAGCCTGTCAGGATCCTATTTACAGGTGAATTGCAGGTGAGGTGTCTGTTGAGGCCATGTTGTTTTCTCTTAGTAAGCAGAAGTTGCTGGTCTTAATCTTTTCAGCTGAGGCTGCCCTTCACCTTCCTGAACTGGAGATATTAGACCTATCTTGGAATAAGTGCGTTGGTGGGAACCTAAAGCTGCTTTTGGGAGCACTAAAGCTTGCAGTGGAGATTCAAGTGTTAAGACTGAGCAGCTGTAACTTGGTGGCTGAAGATTTGGCACTTCTAAGTACGTATAACGTGGTATTTACCAGCAGTCCAGGCGTTTGGACCACAATTCAGGAGGGACTTGTTCCTTGGGCTGAGCGTGAATCAAAGGAAAAGAGGAAAAATACAGCAGTATTTTCCCAGAAAGGGTTATCATCTTGTATGAGGATAAAATACAAAGAATATTTTATCTACTTTTATCTATTAATAATAACAAACCCCAAACACTTAGAAAATGTAGAGTTTAAATCTCTTTTTTTTTTTATATCAGATATTTAAGGCTGCCTCTGGGGAGTTTTATTTTGCTTAATTTCTGTTTCAGGGTTTACTGCTTTATAGAAAATGTATGTGCTGACAGCCAGCAACACAGGCACCACCAGCTCTCAATCCATGAGGTGTGTTCTGGACTCAGACTGCTGGGGGAGAATTAAAACAGAAATATTTTCACCCACCTCTTAGCAGCTGCTGGGAAATACAGGAAAATGGGAACACGATAAAGGAATGAATTCTAGGATTCTTTTAAAAACCTGTTCATTTTACACTCATCTTGGTGTTCCTGTGGCCCTGACTCGGGGGGTTGAGTGTCTGAGGTTGGCAGTAGCTCTTAAAGCCCTGGAATTTGAAATCTGGTGAGGTGAAGCCTGAATATTTTTGACTTTAAAAATCCTCACCCTTGATGGATGTCCCCTTTGCCAATCACACGTGAAGGACCCCAGTTCTCTTTAAGGTAGATTAGGCCCTCCCACAGTGAGAGGCTGCTATTGCAGCAATCCAACCTCATCTAGTTTTGCTTTGCTCTTCCTAAATCTCCCTGTAAAACCTGTCTGCCTATTTTAATTGGCACTTGGTATAACCTTCCAGCTGACTCCAGGGTGTTCAGGGTGCCATCCCCTTCTAACTCAATAGTTCTGTTCCTTTTGAATTACCCGTGTTTTAAGTGCTGTACCCTCCTTCAGCTGTGAAAAAACAGTCTGAGCTCAGCAGCAAGTGATTTGATGTTGCTGAGGAGTTAAATCTTGCTGTTTAACTGCTGAAAAGCCTTAAATAATAAGATATTAAAATTCTGCTCTCCTTTCTGAGGAACTTCGAAAGCAATTGCCAGGATTTATTAGTTGTGTTTGTGTCTGTCCTCTCTTGCAGCATCTCTGACACGGGATGGCCACCTCTCCAGACTGCAGATGCTGGATTTGAGTTACAATGACAGCGTCTCTGATGAAGGGTGGGCTGTTTTCTGTCGAGGTTTAGCAGCGTCCAAGGAGCTGTCGGAGCTCGATCTCAGCCTCCGCCCCTCGTCCTGCCGGGCCTGCGGGACCTGGTTCAGTGAGTTGTTGGCAGCACTGGCACAGCTGCCTGCCCTGGCAGAGCTGGGCATGCAGAGATGGGGCCTGTCAGAACCCCAGAGGAAACAACTGGAAAACTTTAATCACGACAACAAAAGGAACATTCGCTTTGACTGCTGATGGAGGTGGAAGGTGGCTGGTCCAGCACGTGGATCAAGTGTTATGTGTCTGTCACTTAGGAGATCACACAGCTTTTAATAATCTCCTGAATAGTTTCACAGTTATAGAACACTGTTATTTAACCCTCTGCATCACAGATCATTCCATTTAACAAGACACTCTTTGAGATTCTCTAGGCCATGCTTACACTGCTGCAGACACTTCATCTTCACGGTGCCCAAAGAGCAATGCTGGACTCACGTGGACACACTGCAGGTTTGCCAGTGGAGGGGATGTGTGTTAATGCAGGTGGGTGGGCAGTGTGAATGTGACCTCAGAAAATGCCTCTAATGTGAAAACACTTGAAACCTCTGTGTTTTAAATTTTAAGTTTCTTCTCCCCGAAAACTTTTGCCTCTTTGTGAATAAATTACATAATTGGGAGATTTGGAAACCATCCCAACAGCTCAACATTATATATTAGTCCAGCAAGGAGAACACAGGAAGAGCTGTTTTGCCTCTGCTCTGGTCCTTGATGCCATCTCATTGTGTAGATGAGTCCTGTGTACAGAATCAACAAAATATCAAGGTAAGAATCAGTCGTGCAGGGTCTTTGCAGATCTCAGGGTCAAGGGAAATGCTGTGGTACACTAAATCACAGATATGTCCTGCTACTTTAGCAGCATTTTGGACACAGAGCAATCCATAATCATTCTGGCCAAGACTGTAAAAATTTCAGGATTTTAGGGATGCTCCTTCTCATCTTGAGGTGTTTCAGGCTTACCCAGACTAAGCTTTTGGAACAGACCATTTTATGACACGCAGCACAAACCCAAAATCCTATGTCTAAGAGTCTGATCTAAAGCATATGAAAGACAGTGGGAGTCCCTGCAGTGTTTTCCTGCTTCCTGCATTCAGGATTCATCCATCAACCTTCACACCACCTTGTGACACAGTGTTCTTATCCTTACCCTAGAGATGAAGGAAATAAGCAAAGTCTGTTATTCCAAGCCAGAGGGCAGCTCCCAGTGAGAGCCCAACACCCTGCCCAGTGCCCAAGACTTGTTAGAAAAAGCACCAACTTGGGATGTGGAACCCTTTTTAATGTGATAATTATTTTTTTTTACATTTTATTGCCTGTCTGACACAGAGCCCAGTTGTGGCAGAGTCAGTCGTGTCAGGGAGCGTGTTAACCCACACGTGAGCTCCGGGACTGCACTGGGATTAGTCATCAGTAAGGTATTTTAGGAAGTAAAGATATTAGATCTGCCCACTGAGTGAGGAGTCTTAGAGAAATCCTGAGGCAGCTTGAGGGATAAAGTTCTGCTCAATTAGCTCTGAGTATCTGTCCATGCTGCAGCAATCTCCTGGAGGAGAAGCACAACAGGATCACTCAGTGGCGCTTTCCTAACTTGCTAAGGCCCCTCTCAGCAGGTTCTGTCCTGCAGGTGCTGATCAATATTCACCTTTCAGTCCTCGTGATCCTTCCAACATCAGCTTTTGGCTGCTCAGGGCTATCACCAGCAGCTGACAATGCTGTGCTGATGCCTATTGATCATTTAATCCATGACTTCATGTGGAAATCTCCCTGGATCCAGTTCCAACTGAAAAGTGCGCTTGGCTCCCCCAGCTCTGAGAAACGTGAGTTGAACTGGAGTGTGTTGGTCAGAGGCTGGTGAGAGATTTTCAAGCAGTGACTTCAGCCAGCACAGTTGTTCTAATGTGCAAGTACCATCATGTCTGTTTGACAGCAGCACACCAACCTCTTCTCTTATTCACTTGCCTTCCTCTGACTTTCCTCCTCAAATATGCCTTTGGTCCAGCTGGGAAATGGATGCTTTATCTGTTCTGTGAGGATGTCTCTTAATCACTCCTTTCCCACTGAACCTCTCTCTCTAATTAATCCTTAATGTCCAGATTCTGTTGAAATTTCCTGGACTTCAGCTCTGTCACAGTTGGGTCCTCAGCTCCAGAGCACATTATGGACCCACTGCAGCAAACTCTCCCCTTGCTGTTCCTGATTCCCTGCTCAGTCCTTTGCCCTTTCATGATTCTGTCCTACCTACTGTGCCATTAAAAAGCTTTTATTCCTTTTATCACCTCTATTAAATGTCCTGTCTATCTGCCAGTCTTCCCAGAAACCTCTCTTCCAGTGGTTTCCTCTGAATTATCCTTCTCTCTGTTCCTCTTTGCCTTCACTTAGGGTGAAAAAATTTCACAAGACACTTCCAAACAATCAAAGCAGCCTCAGTTACCCAGTGAAATGGAAAATGAGAACAGAGCCGTCCCACTTTCCTGCAGTCCCGGCTCTCTCCTGCCAACAAGCATATTAATGAGTTTTCAGTGTCAGTCAAGAGCCAAACAGAAATGAGTTCCATACCCTGGATGCAGATTCAGAGAGCACTCCCCTGGAGATGCAACTCTAGGAAGAGCTGGTCTCAGTGACCTGCCTGATTCACCATCCCCCTCAGGGTGCACAACCTTCCCTGAGGCAACTCAGACAAGGGCATCAGATGTCTGGGACAAACAGCTCTCTGTGAAGATGTGAATTTGGCGTGCAAGAATTACAGTGAGGAGGGTTTGTCATGGTTCTTTTGGATAACAAGGATGTTATGATGTGCCAGAACCAAAATCATGGCAGAACATTGCATCCTGCAGGCTCACTGCCTTCATCCAAATCTGTCACACACAGGCATTTCCCAAACTGTCACCGAGCCATCTCGGGGAAGAGCTGCACCACTGAGGATGTGACAGCTTGCAGTCATTCAAGGTGCTGTCACTGCAGGCTGTCAAAACATCAGTGAACAGCTTTGCAAAAGTGGGGAGATACTTTCAAAACAGCTTTTTTACACCTCTGTAAGGCAGGATGGTAATGGAGGTTCTGGTAGAAGTGTGTGTGTTCTGACTGCCTGGAATCCTGCTCTGTATTTCCAAACAAGGAACTGATCATTTCTGGAGGCAAAACTCGTTAAACAACTGCTGGTAGGTGGGGTACCAAAATATGTTTGTACCTCACTGACTGGCAAGCAGATTTCTAAGAATTGCAAGTAAAATACTCTGGGATTCAGAACAAACAACGCTTCATTGCACCAGATTCCTGCAGGTTAGATTGATTTCCAGATTAGATTGGTTTCCACCAAATCAACTACCTTTATGCTTAGAGATAACACGCATTCAGAATGAGACACCTCAAGAACATTTCCGAATCTGCCTGATTCACCTGGGGTCAGTGTGGACAAAAACACAAAACCAAACCTAAAAACATTTGTTTTCATTGTCACACCCACTGATTCAGACGCTTGAACAGTGCTTGTCTCCTACTTGCTTATCTCTGCTCACATTTGTCCTTGTAAAAGAAAAGAGTTCTGTGCAGTTTACTGCCCAAATTTCAGGTTTTTTTTTTTTTTTTGCTTTTGATCCCTTTAGAGGCTTATCTTTTCCCTTTCATTTTCCTTTTTTTTTTTTTGATTAAATTATTAAGTGTCAAGAAAATTCCAATCCCCTTCTGGTTCATCAACCCACACCACAAACTTGGGATCTGAAAAAGAGAGAAGAACAATTTGGTTACCTGGAAGAAAAGGGTAAAAGCAAACAGCCTTGAGGAATGGTGCTACTGGTGGATATTCATGATGCAAAAAGCATTTTGTTCTTCCAAAAACCCTTTTATTCTGGATTGGACTACATTGTTGGCAGCTAAGACGAACTGTCAGTCATCTGATTTTTCTTTTATTTTCTGTTTTATGTTTTTCAAGAGGAATTTCTTACCTGGGAGGACACTGGTCCCCCATACCTTTGATTAGAAAAGCAAATGACAATGTCTACACATCTTTAAATGTCACTTTTTAGTTTGGAAGAACGGTTCAGGAGAAACAGTAGCTCGTGAAGAAATTACAGACTTACAGAAAGAGAGGAATAATTTAGGTTCAAAAGAATCAAAGACTGAGGAATCACCTTTCCTTCCTTGTTGCCCTGTATTTTTTTTAATTCCATGTGACCCACTGATGATCCAGAGTAATGTTGTTTTGGAAAAAAAAACCAAAACAAACCAAACATAAAATGACACACAAAAGAAGTGTCTTGTTCAACCTGTTTGCACAATGGATCTGCAAGTATCAGTGAGCTGATGGCTGTGGGCAGGTACTGTGGACAATTATTCTCCACATGCAGTTCCTTCAGATTCTGGAAAATAGGTGTGCAGAAGGTTTAATAAGTGAAGGATTTTTCCTCAGCTTGGTATGTAATCAATGTACAGAGAATATAACAAGTGCAGAAGTTTATAAACTGTGAAATTGTTGGGATGATTGCTAAACACAGAGAGGCAACATGGGTTTTAAACACCGATTTCTGATATTATTCTGACAGCCCTGGCCTGATGCTGCACCATGTACCTAAAGAGATTAGGAGACCCTTCAGTCCTGCATTTGGAAGCAGTGAAGTCCATGGAATTTCCATGTTGCAGCAGACCTTCTATTGCTCCTGCCTGCAATTTACTGATGTCTTCTGGCAGACTTCTGAATTTAATTCCTTTATCTTGTCCCAGTTACAATCTCTGTAATGACTCCAGGAAAAGACTTCCTCTGGAAAGGTACTGAGTTGGTTTTCAGGCCGGCTAAGGCATTTAAAACTTGGCAGTTCCTTCACCCCCACAGGTACGTAGACACAGTCATTAGAAAGATACATTATGTCAATTAAACAGTAATCTTCGGGATTTTGTTTTTAGAGGAAAAAAAAATCTCCTAAGAAAGTGCTGTGGAGCTGCATTACAGTTGATGGATGAACACAGAATATTCTGCTCATTAATGTCGCATTATACCTCACAGTATGGTGGAAATTTTGGCAAAGAAATCCATGTTGTTTCCTCTGCTGGAAAGATTTCTTATGGGGTTAATTTTACTTCTTAGCAGAAACATTAGTCTGCTTCTTCATTTCCTTTGTGTGCACGGTGCAGGGGAGAGCAATTTAAATGAATGAAATCTGAAAGGGAGTCTTTTGCATAAATTACTACTTTGGTAGATGTAACTTTCAAGGAGAAAATATTGCACCAGTGGAAACAAATCCTTGGAAAAGAAGTGTTGCATTGTATAAAAAAGGAAGGTGTATTCTGAGCCCTAAAATGGGGATGTCCATGAATACTGTTACACTTACCATGGCACAGCTTTAGGGTGCTTCACTGCTCATGATCAAATGAACAGCAAGTATCAGTGGAGTTCAGGGCATTAATAATATCACATCCATTTTTAAGTTGCCCTCTGCTCAGTTTGTGACATTGATTCTATGCAAATGCAGCTCTGATTTTCTAGTGGACACAT